ATGGTTAGAACATAGGGAAGAACTAAAGGGAATGATGTCACTGAAGCCAAGCAAGCAGAATTCCCAAAAGGAGGGACTGGCCGAACCTTTCAAACGCAGCAGAGACAGTAAGATGAAGACTGTCAGTTGCACTGCGCCCAGATTCGGTGGAGGGGGACAGACGTGTCCTGGTACAGCTGGGATTAAATGGTCGAGGCAGAATTTCCCTTCAGTGCTCCCCACCCACCATTCTTTTTTCTTTTCATTTTCTTCCTCTGATAATGCTCAGCATTTCTAATTTACCTAATTGTACTTAGAAACAGGAAAGGGGCTGATATCACCTCTTTGCACTTGAGTACAAACTGGCCCATCTTCTCTGCCCCAATTATCTGTACTTCCTTAATTGAAAGTAGTTTCAGATATAAAAGCAGGCTGTGCCCAGCTCTTGCTGAGGACAGCCTGTTTCAACCACCTTAAGATAACTTGGTAATGGCAATGGGATGGTCAAAGGGGAGATCGATGGTTCTGTCCACTCCTAAGAGGTCTCTTTGCTCCCTGAAGGGCTTTCAGCTTAAGCTGGTGGAAGGAATTTCCAGGAATTGTTTCTTGAAAGTCTGAAGCATACCCAGCAGGCTAGTTTCCTTCCTCTGGCCTCCTTTGGGCTAAGCTTAACTCTGGCCTTCCTTGAGCCCTACAGCCTTACCTCTGCTCAGATCTGCCCACAGAGCCCAGAGCCAGACCTGTCTTCCAGTGCCCTTCCCCTTCCCTTTGCCACCCCTTTGCTCAGCCACATCTGATAACCCTGTTTCTGTCCCCAGAACCGTCATCATAGCAATGATTCTCAAATTTTAGTGGGCAGGCTCAGCTGGGGAGCTGGTAAAAACCTCACCACCAAAAGTCACTGATGTACTATATGGGTTGGGGCCTAGGAATCTGCATTTAAATCAGCTTCTGGGGTTTCTGATGTTGTTGGTCAGTAGACCACACTCTAAGAAATAAGGAGAGTGAGAGAGCCATCTAAATATGCAGTGTAATGGTGATTATCATAGTCAAGCAACGCAGCCACTTTGGTCCTTGGGAAAGGAAAGCTGCACAAGCTCCACAGGGAATTTCAGGAGAGAGGGAGGGGCACTGGCTTCTGGGAAGAGCACCGGACTGGGGTGGGGCGCGGGGATTTAAGACTGGATACTTAATACATGAGTGTTGAAGACAGAAATCAATATGCTTGATAGACTATGCAACGAACAAAAAAGAAAAATTAGAAAGATGTGGTTTGGCCACAGGAAAGAAACAATGACATCAGGACTGTGACAATCTATGCTTGTCCCTTGCAGAGCAAGGATGATTACATTACACTGTGTTCTAGTTCAGTTTTCCAATAATACACATCTATTCACTTTTAAAAACTGTAATAAAGCTGACAGGAGAAGATCTGGCTTTGGGTGGTGGGCACACAGTGCAATATAAGACCTTGTAACAGAAACCCACACCTGAACCCTATATGATCATGTTGATCACTGTCACCCCAGTCAATGTAATAAATAAATATTTTAAAAATTGTAATGACAACTAGACATCATACTTATCTGGAATAGATAGTACATGGTAATTGTGCCTTTTACCAAATAGGACAAAACACAAAAAATATATATATATATTTCATGACATACAAAGTCACCAGAAATCAGTCCAATACTTCATAAAATTATTAGCTAAAGGGGCCTTTCAAGGCTAGATGTTAGAGGATAAAAATGCAAAGGGCAAGACAACTTCTTCAAGGAGACTTACTTCAGTGCTGAGGGCTAAAAGATAATTGGAATTCTGAGGGCTATACATCATCTGAGTCAGAGGATGAAATGGGAGATTGGTCTGAACAAAGTTCTTTGCAAAATCTGACGATCTGAAGATTCTTCCTCCGGGACTTCCTCCAGACACCTCTGCTGTTAAAATCACCTGGTTAGGAAGAAGGCAATTCAGATTCAGGGTGTGACACTATGAAAGCTCAGGAAGTCCTACACCACTTCCACAAGACATCAGTTAAGAAAATTTCAGTTCCCAAAGTAAGAATTATAAAGACAGATTAGTTGGTGCACCCCACTCCTTAAGTGTTAGTCTTATCAAAAAATATCCTGAATTGAGATAATGCATCATGTCTATGGATGCAAGCCGGTCAGTTTGAGATCAGCCAGTTTGCCAAAGACTAAAATAAAATGTGTGTCTTAGGAGTGTACACTGTAATGCTAACCAGCTGCCACCTAGGAGTTTGGGTGCATCGTAGACAGAGGCCAAAAAGGAACCAATCCAGTTCTTTTGTGATCAGTATTAAATTAGGTTTTAATTTTAAAGCACAGTAATAGCAAACTAAATACACTGCTGTGTATCTCTGGATCATTCCAACATTAACACCTGAGCGCCCAAGTGTGGCATCAAGCACAGCTCTACACATGCACGAACGAGTCTCACCTTTCCAGAGTTCTCAGGACCAATAGCCATGCCAAATTCAGTCCGAATGAAGGTGTTATTGATGAGATTTGTAATATCCTTAAAGTTCTTTCCATAGTCCTCACTGAGAGGAAGAAAAATAAAGACACATTTAGGATGCAGTGGTCGTGGCCACTGTTGGGTTCCTACCCAGCTTCCATCCCCGTTCTCTGACTTCACTGAGACACTCCCCCTCCCCTGACGAGTTTCATGCCTCAGGGAAGCTGATGCCATCCCTAGCTCCAGTGTGGACTCGATGAGCCTGAAGTCCACCCCTCACAGGTGCGGGGTCAGGAGTGGGGGAGTGACCCAGACCGAGGCAGTGAGACAAAGGGGGGAACTTGGGCTCTCTTAGGAAACAAATTTCCTTAGCCACCTGATGAAATAAATGGGCTATCTTTCTTTCTAAACCAGTGGCTCTCAACCAGGATGTTTTTGCACAAATACCCTCCAAGCAACCATTCGGTAATGTCTGGAGACATTTTTTATGATCACAAATGCTAGTGGCATCTCATGGGGTGAGGCCAGGGATGCTGCTAACCATCCTGCAATGCACAGGACAGTTCCACAGCATCACAGAATGATCTGGCCCAAATGTCCACAGTGCTCAGATTGAGTCCCCAAAGTGCCGGGTGTTAATGCAAAGCAAAAGGTCGCTATGGGGTCCTGACACCATGAGCACAACCTGAAGATAAAGCCAACACAAGTGGAGCAGCAGCACCTACGACACTGGACTGTGCTGACCCTGAAGCCTGTCCTGCCTCTGCATTTAGTTCTGAGTCATTAATTCCCTGACTAAGCTAGTTGGAGCTGGGATCTCTGCTAAGTGTAGCTAACGGCCTCCTAACTGATCTATTCATGCAGAGTCCTCATGATAAAGCTGAGTTGAGTAGAAGGAGCCTTCAAGTTTCCGCCAGAGGATACCATCCCTGGGCACAAGTCTCTACTGCATACAGCACACAAAATGCAGGTAGGGAAACAAACCAACTTAACGCCAGTTCTCGGGTTGTTAGAGATTTTCCCAGAAGTTCATTTCAACAATATCTGTGAGAGGTATTCAATTCCACGTTTAGATTTTGAAAAATACAAGCCTAAGAATCAGTAGCTGTGTAACTCTGACAGGATTAATACTATGTGCCATTCTCTTAAAAAGCAATAGAGAAAAAAGTGGTAGAATGCAAAATCTCAATATTCATGAATGTCCATCAGTGAAGACCACTGTGTATTGCGAATTAGTTGCCAAAGATAAATGTGATGTGCAGTGGTCTTCACTGTAGACTATGACGTAAAAGATGGTACAATCTCGACAAATAATCACAGAAGCAGAGAACATGAGAAATGCGAGGGACTGAAGGGAACATCTTGTCCAACTCCCTCATTTCACAGACGAGGAGGTTCAAGGGGAGGCAATTTATCAAAAGCCAACCAGTTAATTAAGGGCGAAATTGAAGCTATAATCCAATTCTCTTAACTCTCAGCTCCAAACTAGGGACAACTTGTAATGATCTGTGAGGAGTTTTTCCCTTACAAACTGCAGTCTTCCTCTGTTTTGCCAGGGCTGTGGCCTAGCAGCACCGATCAGCTAAGAGGAAACTGGAGACACAGGAGGGAATTATCTTGGAGTGTTTGTTTAGGTCCCTGACAGAATGCTAAAGCAAACTACGCGTGACTTTAAGTTGTCTGAATAACTTCCCATCTCTTAGCAAGCACACACAGAAAATGCCTAGATAAATAAAAGAGGGACCAGGCACCACTTATCCATCAGATTCCTCCATATCTCCCCCCACCCCCTTTTTGGCTTTGAAGTACAAGAAGAGTTCCTATCTTCCTGACAGCAGGCCAAGAGATGTATAAACAATTCCTGCTCCTCAGTGTAAATGTCAGCAGCAGCTCAGACAACCTTCAAAGGGGCTGGCAACAGCTCGATTATCACCACCTTACAATTCTCCCCTCCTGCCCCATATCCCCCGGGAACCTCCACAAACCTGTTGGCAAGTCTGCTGGCTTTTTAAGAACTTGGCACAACAAGCACATCCCTGCCCTTCAGAAAAAGAAAGCAACATGAACAAAGCAAAAAGTCATCAGCTACAACACTTTGGTACTGTAGCCAGTTAAACAAATGGAGCGCAATGGATCAACCTGCTGGCACGGAAGGGAGGTTCTGCTGAGGCCACGCTGGGCTCAGGGATATACAGGGCTGGGCAAAAGTAGGTCTCAGTTGAGTATGGGAAGCACTGAGTTTATTCTTGTGTTATTATTTATTAATTACTGTATTATTTTCCATTCGAACAACTGTAAACCTACTTTTGCCCACTCCTGTATTTTAACAAAACCCTTTATTTAAAAGGGTTTTTTTCTATCAGCATACAACATATATCATGAAGAGGAAATCAACAAAACAACTTAAAAAATCTACTTTTCAAATTCCAGATGGTAATTAACAGAGCAATGAGCAGCAGTCAGATGAAAAGTTAACAAAACCCTATGAAACCATCTGCTTTAGAAACCAGTCTTTTTAATAATTCTATATATCAATCCTAATCTCTGCTCTTTCTGGTTACCAAAATAAAGGACCACTTTTGCATATATCTGTGGTATAAACATTAATAAGAGTACAGTGGGGCCTTGACTTACGAGTGTCCCGACTAACGAGTTTGTTTTTTTTGATACGAGCCGTCTCTCGGCTGATTTTTTGCTTTGAGTTGCAAGCTCAAAAAGAATCGGGTTACCAGCCAGCTTCAGATACACCACCGCTAGTTGGCGCAGCGAACGTCACAGTGATTTGACATATGAGTAATTTGAGTTATGAGCTCCGTCACGGAACGAATTAAACTCGTAAGTCAAGGCCCCACTGTATGCACCTGTTTATAACTCAAGAAAATCGTGGCAGAATATAAATATTTTTGGAATAGAACCTAATACCCCTAAAGAACAAGAAAAACCTAGAACTCATTAAAATAAATGAAAAAAAGTAATCATCACATGGACTTCTGGTAAAATGCAGTGTCAACGTTCTTAATGAGATGAAGCACTGGAAATTGGGGTTTCCAAAAGACTCACATGTTGACACTCAACCCAAACAGCCAGAGCCTAGAATTATACCCTTGTTTCTGCACTTTTCATATATAGGAACTTGTGACATCAAGCATTTGACCTACAGGCATTTAATGAGAAGTAACAGTAAGAGAGTCCTACAGTATCTCAGAGAATCCTGCATATTATTTTTCTCAACAATCAAACCAACCCAGATAGCCTTATTTGATCAGCTTTCAAGCCTAACCATTTCTCCATTCCTTTAGTTCATTTTTGCCATGATTAAGTCACTATAAATTGCAACATAAAAACAACAGGCATGACAAAAAACTCTAAAGAAAATAATTATAATTTTGTAGTTTTCACTAATCAGGAAAGTGTGTGCAGCTGATTCTCTTATTCTCAGATTCTCTATCTGTGACTATGCCTCTTCACTAACATTTCTTTGTAACCCACATCCACACTCGTGGCCCTTCCACAGTGATCTGCAGACATGCGCAGGGTCACCCAGTGCACACGTTCCCAGCTGAGGTCCAACAAGGGGACGAGCCGCCTTCGTATTTCAGCTCTTACACTGTAAATAAGTGTCTTCGTCATGGTCTATTTAGTACCTTGCATTTTGCATTTTTGTGTTTTTTATGGGTGATTTTGCTGTTTAAAATGGCCCCCAAGCATAGTGTTGAAGTGCTATTCAGAGCCTCTGAGCACAAGAAGGCTTTGATGTCCTTTCGAAGAAAATATGCTAGTTAGATAAGCTTCTTTCAGACATGAGTTGGTTGTGAGCTCAATGTTAATGAATCAGCAATATATACTAGGCCGGCTGGTGTGGCTCAGCAATTGAGCATCGACCCAGAACCAAGAGGTCACCGGTGCGATTCCCAGTCAGGGCACATGCCCAGGTTGTGAGCTCAATCCCCAGTAGGGGGTGTGCAGGAGGCAGCCAATCAGTTATTCTCTCTTATCATTGACTAGAGGCCTGGTGCACAAATTTGTGCATGGGTGGGGTCCTGCTGGCCCACCCCCCGATCGGGGGAGGGGGCAGAGGAGGGGCCATGGGCGGTTGGCCAGCCAGCCCTGCCCCCTGGTCGAACTCCCAATTGAGGGGACAATTTGCATATTAGTCTTTTATTATATAGGAAGGATGTTTCTCTCTCTCTCCCCCTCCCCTTCTTCTCTGAATCAATAAAAAAATATTTTAAAAAACCCACAAACAATATGTATAGTAATAAGAAACACACATAAAACAAAGTGATGTGCTGATCAATTGATGAAAGTTAATTTGTGATCAGAGGTTTTTAAGAACCTACCCCAGAATTTTCCTCTAGGAACAATGGTTCAGGATTCACTAACCAGTATTCATGGGAACTATGGAGAACATAACGATTGTGAAGAGTGAGAATTGACTGCATTGAGATTTCCAGCTAAAAGATCAGTTAGGGAGAATACAGCTTATTAAAATGTGCCAAAGGACATAGAACTAAAATCAGTGACAGGCAAAACTGGCAGATTTTCAATCCATAGGTAAACTGAATTCCCAATTATACTTCAGTCTCTTTTTTCACCCCAGCTGTCTGAGCAGTGAAAGCTGAACCCAGCACATCACTGAAAAAGCTGTCATACAAGATGCCCTGGAGGAGCTGGTTTACTCTACTTTCCTTCAATATCTGTTGTATACCTTTAAGGTATCCTTTTTAAAAAAATTCTCAGTAACCTGAAAAACTTACATCAACTATGGAATAAACTTCAATGTGAAATCTTTTAGAGATCCTCTTATTAATTTCCAAAATTTGAACAACTCTCAATAGGAAAAAAAAATCGCAAATAAAATGGCCCAGTAGTTTTAGGAACTAGGTACAGGATTCTGGTGTCGAATAATGCGTACATGTGCTTCACTAAGTTGATCTCACAGTGAAAAGTTATACTTAAGGGACCATAGAACAAAAAGGTACAAAACATCTCCTATAGCCTTAAACAAAATTATCATCCTAACTAGGTGGCCTGTTCCCTTTTAAAGTTAGTATCTGCAAAGTGAGAGGCAAATGTACTTTATAATCTATTAATATTCCTTAACAGGGAATCGAAATTTATACCATTCAAACATAAGTCCTTTAAATTGAAGACATTAACATACTATTTGTTTTAACCTAATCATGAATGCCTGGGAACTTTAGTTATTATTTTCCAAACCTTTCAACAATTCTTTTTCACACCCTAAAGGTCAAGGTCTATGAACTCAGCATGAGTAACAGAGACAGCTTCCTGCTATTCTCTGGAGCTTCCGTGCAGCACAGCTCAGAGCAGGTGGCATGTGACCAGCTGTCTTTATTTGAGTCTCAAATAAACCTTTGACCACATGTGAGTTAGTGGAGGGAGATAACCCAATAAATAGTCTAATCATTAAAGCTGTGAGAAACCAGAGTTTTCAGAGTGGATTCAACAGGCTTTTACTTTATTTCTCACTTAGGCAACCTCAGCATAGTCATTCTGATCAAACTGCTCCCTCCTTTCCCGTGTCTGAAGGAACATGTGCCTCTTGGCTGGCGTGTTCAATGACATGAGTCACATCAGGCCAGGCCAGATGGAGACTGGCATATTTACAGTTTCCACCTAACCTCTGGAAGACCTTTCCCTTCACAGCAGGGAGGAAAGAATTCATATTCAAAATGACCTCGTAGAAACAAACAACCAAACTGCTGCGTGCCCTGCAGAAACAGCACCTCCCTGTGAATATGATTCTATACCAGACACAGAGGACTGCTCTCCAGGTCGAGTGTGTGCTAGGGTTTCTCACAGGCCAGACAGATTCAGGGTGAAAAGGGCTGAGTCAGATGGTGGTAGGTGTTTAAACCATTTGGTTTTTGTTTGGGGCAGTCTTAAAGTAAGCACAATACTGAAAAGCAAAAGGATGGGGAAAAATCATGAAAACACATTGCCCTCCCTATGGGTTTGACTGGTCACCCACTTAAACAGCAATGTAGAGAATTCAGAAGACAAGCATTAAAGTGGCTAAAGCAACAAGTACAGGAGAGAGTTCAACCTGGGGAAGTTGAGAAGCTTAGTAAACAGCCTTCAAAACATCTAGGGTCGCCCTGGCCGGTTTAGCTCCGTGGTTAGAGTGTCAGCCCACACGTGTCTCTCTCACATCGATGTTTTCTCTCTCTCTCTCTTTCCTCGCTCTCTTCTACTCTCTCTAAAGACCAATGGAAATCCTCAGGTGAGGATTAAAAAACAAACAAATAAAAACATCTAGGGGTCAATAAGAGGTTTTCATTTGCTACTAAAAAATGAAGTGGAAATTAGCATTCTCTTGGCAAATATATGTGTCATATTTATCACAACAGCATTAGTAATAGTGAAAAATTAGCTGCAACCTAAGTGTCCAAGAGAATAATGACTTAGTAAATTCCGTCAATCTAACAAAAATGATGGGTAACTAGCAGAGGGGATATGAAAAATATCATTGTATGAGCATCAATCAGAGTGGATATGGGTCATGGCACTTGCATGTTGGCAGGGGTGTGCGTGCATCTCCAGAAGCCATGGAGGCACTGGGGGCAGACAAGCACTTTTTACCAGCGGGCACAGAAGGCTTTGAATTCATTTTAACAACTGGCACAGCAATATCAGTACAGTCTGGCTATGTGCCCTCGCTGGCTGCTGGCATGGCAGCAGCTAACCTCCCCAAGTTCTTACTCCAGCCCAGGCACTGCAAAGCATAAGTCACAACAGCTCTGAGGTGGCCACTGTTATCATCTTTCTTTTACAGATGACAAAAAGACTCCGGGAGGCGGAGTAACTTGCTCAAGCTCATTCTGCTTGCAAATGATAGTGCTGAGATTCAATGCCAGGGCTATTTGTCACCAAAACCTGGCAACTTTACACTGTATCATGTTGCTTCCCCAAACTATGTAGCCATATGATATAACATTCAAGGGGAAAATCAAGATAAACTGTACATAAGTTAAGATTACACTTGACATTAGGGTGAAATTTTTCCTTTAAAATTTCCAAATGTTATATAATATATTGCTTTTTTTTTAAAAAAAAAACCACATGATTTTTATTGATTTTAGAGAAAGAGGAAGGGAGATATAGAGAGATAGAAACATCATCAATGAGAGAAAAACACTGATCGGCTGCCTCCTGCATGCCCCCCTATTGGGGATCAAGCCCAAACCAGTGGCCTCTTGGTTCATAGGTCAATGCTCAACCACTGAGCAACACCAGCCAGGCTATAATACATTACTGTTATTATGAAAGATAATTTGCCAAGAAAAATTATCATAAGGAAAAATTTTATGACAATAAGGTTTCTTAAACATTGGAAAAAGTTATGAAGTTACAACTTTTTATACATTTTTTCCCTCCCCAAACAGGATATTTTTCATCTGTCTGAAATAGTTCAATTACTATTCTAATTGAATAAACAAAATCACCTATAAATTATAGCCCTTTCTAGCACTATGATTCTATAATACAGTCAATCCTTATAAAAAATTATCAGTTTAAAAACTACAGAGAAGCCAAGGCATTCATTCATTCAATTAGTATGGACTGCCTGCCTACTATTACATACCAGTCATTTGGCTAGTTGCTGAGAACTCCAAGTTAGTCAAGAACCTTGGCTTTGTGGAGCTTACAGCGATTCCAAAATGGCAATTCCTTCTTAGCCTATTTTTAAGTCAACATCACAGTGTTGAAGGGCCGCGAACACTGGCTCCAGACTCAGAATCAGCAATCAAGATTACACCTACTGGAGAAGGGGCCATCTCAGAAATTCACCAAAGGCTCACTTGTATCTGGGCCCCTGAGAGAGTACGATGGCTGCTGGGAAATCCATTGGCCTTGAGAAGAGTTTCTATGTTATCTGCTAGGATGCCATATTTTTGGGGGGGTCCCTTGGGGGAAAATGAGATGGGCACAAATGATGGAGAAGACTATCAGCAACTTCTGAGAGTTAGCTGGTCTTGCATCTTACAGTTAAGGAAAAGAGCCTGCTATTTAACCAAGCTGTACCTTTGAGAAGACACATGTAAAACTTGGTAACTGTCACAGTATGGTTCCAGAACATACACTGCCACCATCGTTACCAGTGTAAACACTATAAGGCACTTTGGTAGGTCTGACCTGAGAACCTCCTTCTGATCTAGAAACAATCTAGATAAACTGGGGCTCAGAGGATTAGATAAATATATTTACTTGGAAGGTACAAAGTGTTACATAAATACATTTACTTGGAAGGTATAGTGAGGATTGTTACTTCAGAGATATAAAAACCATTCTATGCTTATAATAAGTAGAAAGACTGTTGAACTCCATGCTACCTTCCCAAAAATAAATACCCATTTAAATTAATAAAACACACACCCCTACACACACTCCATCTGCCTTTACTGCTTTCCTATTTAGTCAGGTCAACCTAATCTTCTTGGAACTAGATTCCTTTTCATATTTCTTCAGGTTAAGTAAATATTAAGTGTGCTGAATGTGACAGTTTGTTGAAAATTTAAGATGGCTGAAAGATCTTTTTAATCAACTGTTGGACTCCATCATGCCTAGAAAAGTGGGGAACTTACATTCACAATGTATTCAGTCAGTGCCCCAACCATATGCATCTCACCTTCGATAGAGCTTGGACTGTCCGAAAGTCATAATTACCAGTGGTACATGGAAGGTAGTCAAGACTAGAATGATCTGGAGAGAGACAAAAGCACAGTTAAAAAGAAAGATGGTCCAATCACATGCTTGCCTGTGATGGGATTAAATCAACATCTGAAAGACAAGAGGCCCTGCTTTGCAGTAGCCTATATTCCCGGTCGGCAAACTGCGGCTCTCGAGCCACATGCGGCTCTTTGGCCCCTTGAGTGTGACTCTTCCACAAAATACCACGTGCGGGTGCGCACGTATAGTGTGACTGAAACTTGCGGAGAAGTCGGTATTTTGTGGAAGAGCCACACTCAAGGGGCCAAAGAGCCGCATGTGGCTCCTGAGCTGCAGTTTGCCGACCACTGGCCTATACTGTAGTAAGTCAGAAAACCAAGAAGTTACTAAGGCTTGCAGTGACTCAAGGTCTCAACTCTTGGTTGAGATGGTCCTGTCACCCACACTTGAAGCAGTGAGGCAGAGCTAATCAACTACCCATTACAATAAAGGAAGGATTTAACTATTTTGTATCCATCTATATAATAAAAGCCAGCAACCTTTACAGTGGAACAACCAGAACAACTGGTTGCTATGACGCACACTGACCATCAGGGGACAGACGCTCAATGCAGGAGCTGCCCCCTGGTGGTCAGTGTGCTCCCACAGGGGGAGCGCCACTCAGCCAGGGCCTAAGCCATCAATCGGACATCCCCGAGGGCTCCCGGACTGTGAGAGGGCGCAGGCCAGGCTGAGGGGAACTCCCCCCCCCCCCTGCACGAATTTTGTGCACCGGGCCTCTAGTATTAGTATAAGATATTCTCAGGCAAGAATCAGCTCCCTTTCTGTGTACAGGAGGCTAGAGCACTATGGGTGCTCAAAAGTCACTGTCACATATTTCCCTCCTTTTCTCCTCCCTGCTATCAGTTCTCCATGAAATTAATTTCTTAAATATTTTTCTAGATAAAAATATGCACAAGGACAAATTCTGATAGATTAGTACAAGAGGGAGTCTCAATTGGCCATGTAACAAGAAATCTTGCGATACCAACTATCTTAAATAAATGGATAAATCATGGAAATTAGAGCACAACGCAAATTTTAGAAGAAACTGAGACATGCTTAAAGACATTCTACCAGAAGTTTAAAAATTAATTAAGATAATTAATTTATAACTTGCTCTTCAGCTCCAATATTTCTTTGGATTCCTGACATAGCCATCGTGTGCCTCAATGCTATGATGCATACATTCATGGAATACCAGAGGGGAGGGTATGAACTGTGGCCCTGCCCTTGTTCAGGCAGGATAATAACAGAGCAGCTAACACCAAGCCCTGAGTCAAGACCTGGGGCCGATGCATCCCAAGTGCACCCTCCTACTGGGAGACGGGCTCCACATTGGAGAATAAGGAGCTGACAGACGCTCCTTCCACTCTCCCAATCCTGGCAGCACCTCCTTTGTTGTAGAAAAAGGGACACAGATGGAACTAAACAGCCATGAGCCCATGGGCGCCACAGTCCTTCAACACTAACTGTGGGAAAATGCATTTGGGAGGAAAAATGCCAAGATGTGCGATGCGCAGGTTTCAGCTTCCACACTGGTCTTCCCATGTGTTGTGAGGCTCACTTCTCAGCATACAGCACGCGCTTCCCTCTTTCTTCTTCTTGCTCATCTTGATGCCAAGCAGCTACCAAGGACTCAAAAGGTGTCTATCTTCCCATTATGGAAGAGGGTGGTTACAGGATGTTTCCCATTCTAAAGCAAAACCAACCCAACCACAGTTTCCTGAGAGTTTGTCCTGGAAACATGTATTTCTGTGTCTGAGGTTGGAAACAGTTTCAGAAAATAACAACACTTAGTGCTTAAACTCCCCACATCTACATGTTCTTCTTGCTTAGTTGAATTCACAGCCTCAAAATATTACTTACCCCAGTGCTATCTCCAACCCAAGACAAGGATACTGAGCCACTGAGATCATCAAATACATGCTGTAAGGGGGAAAAAAAGAAATTCATTTACAAATGACATCTTTCCTTCAGTCTTTGACTCCCTTAAATAATTCAGAACACTATTACTTTCAAAGTAATTAAATTCATAATTATAAGGGGACTTGGATTCCCTGAACAAAATTTGCAGGGCAGGATTTAACTACTTAACTTAAATTACAAATAACTTGGAGATTTTAATTCTGAGATATGCTTAAAGACATTCTACCAGAAGTTTAAAAATTAATTATACAAAGTAAGCCAAGCAGATGAGCTTTCTTCACTGCACCAGATGGGGAGATGGGGTAATCTCATTGCTTTCTCCAACAGAACTAAATATAAATATGTAGAAAGTATTCTTAGGATGCTTTAAAACAAGGGATCACAGCCCACACTGACAGCTATAACTGTAACCCAATCAGCATAACCAATTTTTCTAGGCAGCCTTCACAGTACAGGTGCATGGTTAATAACTAGATTCCTTTTGCTCCTAGGCTCTCTCAAAATGACAAGGTTCTGAGAAGCGAGAGCAAATGCCCTTCTTTCACATTTAAAATAGTGGTTGATAATGATAATAGTAGTAATAATAGTAGATATTAGTAGATAATGATAATAGTAGATAGTAATAATTATCTAGTAGTAGATAATAATAGTAAATAATAACAATAACAATAATAATAATAATAATAATAATAGAACCTTAATAGAGTTGTGGTAAGAGTGAGGAGACCAAAAAAAAAAGGAGAGCTGGTGTAGTGTATCCAAAATATGGTAAACATATTAAAATGCAGTTATATTTTTTTTGTTAATCCTCACCTGAGGATATTTTTCCATTGATTTTTAGAAAGAGTAGAAGGGAGGGAAGGAAGGAAGGAGGGGGGTGGAGAGAGAGAGAGCAAGAGAGAGAGAGAAAGAGGGAGAAACATCAATGTGAGAGAGACATATTAATTGGTTGCCTCCTGCATGTACCCTGACCAGGGCCCAGGACTGAACCTGCAACCCAGATACATGCCCTTGACTGAGAATTGAACCCGACACCCTTTGGTGCTCGAGCCACACTAACCAGGGCTAAAACGCAGTATTAGTAATCATTGTAGGTGCTTTTGGGTTTTGGTTTTCAAATACTTTCTTTCTCTACTTATAAAATAATATATATCCATTACAGAAAATGTAGACAAAAGGGAGGTATAATGAATATAAATCTTTCATAATCCTATCACACAAAGACATTCAAGGCTAACACTATGTTTATAATCTTCTAGTCTCTATTGTTGTTGTTCTAGCTAATGAAGAAATAATTCCAAAAAGGCCGCACTGGCACTTGGTAAAAATGTTCAACCACACAGAAATGTATACAGAAAAAGTGAAGACCCTTCCTCTTCGTCTGTCACGTGCCCCACCACCCAAGCCCCACTCCCCAGAGGGGTTAACAGTTTAGTGTATATTTCTACTGTGTTGACAATTCTGCTTTCCTCCTCTGAAGACATATATCTTAAGATTTTTAAAACCTTAAACATGCCCTGCCTTTCCAAACATTAAGGAGCGGTTCCTTAGAAGCAGAGGCTATAACTTTATACTTTTTGGTGTTCCCTGTGCCTACCACGGCACTTTGCACACTCAATAAGCATTTGTTGAAATGGTTCTACATCCTTCCCAAACCACAGACTCAATCTCAAAATAGCACATGTCTGTAAATGGTGGATGGCAGTCTCTGGGCCACTCAAGCTGCCAATCTCAACAGAGACGTCTGAAGAAACAGAACTCAAACACTGTTTTGCTTATCTTCTCATTTTCTTTGGTGGTCTTCCTGAACGGGCCTCTGAATTCACCTCTGCTGTTTCCCCTCCGGACTGGAAGTACATTTGAGGTCAGCAGAATCTCTTGTACAGTCTCTGTAAGTGGCACAATCAGTGCCGCACAGAGGCTTGCTCAGTGAATGCTGGTTAACTCTCAAACGCTCGGGCAGAGCTTCTCACAGCCTCTGCAGGACAGAAAGGCTATTCATGCTCACACACTGGCCAAGCATCTGCGGAAAAGCAGGGCTGCTGGAGACATCTGGAACCAGCAGCGTAAAAACGGACACAGCACTGTGTCTTGCAAGATACTCCGCACATAGCAAGATGGCATATTCTTTTGAGTGAGGATAGGGTCTGAAATCACATCAATGAGCTCCTTGAGGAGAAGTAGAAAGATCCAGAGCTACCACAAGCACCAGATAGACCACCCGGCTAACAGTCACCTAAACAGAGGCTCTCTCTCCAAGGAAGGCTCAGGTCACAGCAGCTGACCAGGAGAAAAGACAAATCCACCATTGGAGTCCTGCTGTCTTGCTCAGGCAACGACATGGCTCGTCTTGAGCCAATCAGGGCCCGCACTCTCACCTTTGAGACCCAGTCAATGTACAGTGGTATTACTCCCGTCTCCTGCTGTCCAATCCCAGAGGGGAAGATTCTTAGATGTCACTAGCAACCTGAGCTTCTCCTAAACAACTCAAAGGACAGCTGGCCTCATTCATCATCCGAAGAGTCCCTTTGGAAAAGTAGGCCAGATTTATCTATAATAATAAAAGAGTAATATGCAAATCGACCAAAAGTCCGAACAGCAGAACGACCTTCCAGACGACCACGCTATGACACCCACTGGCACCAGGCCAGCCAAGGTGGGTGCAATGCAATTGGTCGGGGGCCTGGCCATTGCCCCATGATCGCCCTGCAGAAGGAGGCCCAGGCCACTGGCTGGTGAGGCCATCGATCAATCGGGGGGCTCCACAATCACCCCAAAGAGGGAGGCCCAGGCTACCCGGCAGTGGTGCTGTGGGGGGTGGGCGAAGCCTCCCTTTGCTCCCTTTGGGGTGATCTATCATGGGGCTCCCGGACTGTGAGAGGGCACAAGCTGGGCTGAGGGACACCCCCCCCCCCCCGCTCCAGTGCACAAATTTCATGCACTGGGCCTCTAGTTAACTATAATTGTGGTCTTCTGCTACTCTTTTTTTTAAAAAATATATTTTATTGATTTTTTACAGAGAGGAAGGGAGAGGGATAGAGAGTTAGAAACATCAATCAGAGCACAGATACAATAGCCTTTCTGTCCTGCAGAGGCTGTGAGAAGCTCTGTCCGAGCGTTTGAGAGTTAACCAGCATTCACTGAGCATCCCCTACTGGGGATGTGCCCGCAACCAAGGTACATGCCCTTGACCAGAATCGAACCTGGGACCTTTCAGTCCGCAGGCCGATGCTCTATCCACTGAGCCAAACCGGTTAGGGCTCTTCTGCTACTCTTAACCCTTTCTCCCTTCCCATCCCAATAGCCAATTACATTTTACTATAGCAAATAAACAAACTCATTGAAAAAGCTCATCCATCTACAGCAAATGCAGCTAATTTTTTATATTTCAGTCTTTAACATTCTTATGGTGAAAGTAAAAGGGGAAAAAAAGAAATAAGATTTGACAACAGACCAAAACTCAGGTAGAGAGAAAAGGTCATATGGAGAGGAGACAAATCCAGGAGAGTCAGGGGACCAAGAGCACAGATACAATTGTACGCCATCCATGGGAGGGTTACAGGTGTCCAGAAAAGAGTAAACACTGCTGGTCATGGTTAGGGGACAGAATTCACAAGTGTCAGCACAAGGCCATCAATTCTAATGTGACATCATTTATCATATTTAACATACATGTCACTCTACATTGTGATGGCATCAGAGATATTTCAAAATATGTATTACTTTTAATTATAGCAAAAGAACATTGTCTGCCTCCCTCACTAGACCTGAGGAACATCTGGTACAGGGACCAAGCCTATTCACTTTAGCAAAAATATATAATGTAGCACATAAAAGGCATTCAATAAAAATGAAATTCATTTTCTTTAAGAATTACTTGTGAAGCTCTGAAAAGGAGGAGGATGAAAAGATAAGGCCAGACCCACTTAATTTCCCCAGGAGAGAAACGAGTCTAAATATGAAAAGTTCTATTCTGAGAAGACTTCTGCTTCTGACCGAGAGAGACCAGCAGGGATCAGATTAACCTTCCCACCGGAAACAACTGAAAACACAAACTATATGAAACCATCATTTTCAACACCCTGGACTTCGAGGCAACCAAGTACAATGATCCCTGACAGACAAAAGACAAAACAAGGGCCTACCTCTGCCCTCGGTTACTGTCTGGAGAGTGTCCAGGGCACAGTGCCAGGAAGGGGAGGGCCCAGATGTCCCCTCAGCTGAAGAAATGAGCTGGTGGTCTGGGGAGGACATGGAGGCTATAGCCACCATCAACTGTAGTTCCCACCAACTCCATCCACACAGTCAGAAATTGGTAAAAATGCCCCGGACGCATCAAAGCGTTGAGAGGCACTGGCCGCGAGTGGACTACATACTAGTATATGAGTAAGAAGAATAAAGGTCTGCCTGTACCCCAAGGTTCAAGCAGGGATTACAGAGGTCGGAGCAGCAAGATGGCGGGTCGAAGGCAGTTGTGCAGAAAGCACAGACATGAAGACATATGTAAGGATTTGGAAAATTTTCAAAGAGTAACATAAACTATATTAACATTGCCAACTAGTGAAGTGCTGAGTGTACAGTAGATGCTATTAAGTACTTGCTAAATAAGAATTTCAAATCAGGATAAACAAAGTTAAGGTGGGAACCAAAGGGAAATAAAAATACAGAAAAATGTGTGTGAGGAAAAAAGTACTTCTGTTTGAAATACCCAAGAAAGCTGAGACGAGGCCACAGGATCACTGACTCAAACGGGCATGGTTTCCAGTGGTATATACAGTTGAACATAATCACCCAATAAGTTATGGTTCAATTGTTCTAATCAAGGCAAAGTAAGAGGAATAAAAGAAATATGAGCAAAGGACAAAGCTTATGGCTCCAGAGAACTGAAAAGCAAAACAATCTCTCCAGGAAGAGAAAACCCCAAATGTCCAACACAATATAACCAATGAATATCCTATCCTATTAAAACCCAGAGCATATAAAATATGTAAAAATACTGG